TCCCTCATAAATTCAGATATTAAATTGAAACCTATTAACTGTGAGGCCAAACAACAAATAATAGTCATTTACCCTGTATCTTTTTATCAGGGAAAAGAAAAAATAGAGCAAGAGATGAGTTTAAAGTAACATTCAGTGTTACTAAAACATTGAAAAAAGCAGAATTGTGGAATTAATTACTGAGATGGTATTCTGTGGAAAAGTCTCTGCCTCCTGTATGCATATGGATGTGGGGGTGGGCAACATGTATTGGACTTCTACTACCTAATTGACTGGTAACTCAGAGTATATCACTATCGGTATTGGGCATGAGAGTTTATTATACAGTATCAATGAAAAGGAAATGGTTGCATTGGTTGTTGCAAACAATAATAAATTACTTTAACCTAAATTGTCCGATTACATCAGACTACTTTTCTATTATAAAGCTGATGAATTACAGAGTGAGGAAAAAACATGAAATCTGACTGCATGAGTCACACACTGATGCATAACCATCTATTTCCCCATTCCTTTGGAAGCAGCACAAACCCATTTCACAGGGTATACAGTACAAACAACAAAGGTCAAGGATTTAAAGCAATGTGGTGCTTGATCTAGGGCTTTTATCAATTTCATTTAGGTCACACATGTCAATCACTGTGGTAGAATTCCCCTCTGTGCCCTTTGTTGACTGCATTTCAAGTCTATGGCACTGACAGAAAGAATCTACTCTCACTTACTTTTATACACTGTCCCTGCAGACACTTAAAGCATGTTTATTTGTCTGCCAAAAGCCTGAAAAATGTTAGTCCAGAGGCAGGTTTAAAGAAGATTTTTAATAGACACTGATGTTTTGCAGCATACAAACAAGCAAGTTGAGTTTACGTTGTTCATTGGATCTTAATTAAATATTTTCCTTTCCCTCTTGCCTTGCTTTTCCCCAAAGGTCTCCAATTGCTTCCTGACACCCTATCTGAGCCCCTCCCCCACTATTTTAATCGCCCTCTTAACATTGTTGTTGTGCACAATACACGGAAGCACACATCCAGCCCAGGCCTTTGGGATTAAAGTCTCGTATAAGAAGCCCTTCCAAACATGGTGTGATAATCAATTTGATATTGCATAAAGGTCAGTTCATCCTCTTTTTAAAACATTGAGAACTTATAATATTTCATACATTCATTGATTCTCAGTGACCTTTACACAGGAGAGGGGGTCAATTAATTTACACAAAAAATGGCGATTGAAAGCGTTCCTGCTGCTGCATTAATGTTTTAACTGCCACATTTATCTTAGTTATTAGGACATACATTTTTTTTTTTATTCTGACCACATTGATTTGTTTACTTGCAGCTCATACTTGGATAATTAGATGGGGCATGGAGAGTCAAGACAGAGTTCACACTGCAGGCTAAATATGATGAGGGCCGACCTCTGAGTTGTCAAAGAAAACCTAAGGCAGAACACACAATAAAGACAACTGAGGTGATGCAGCTCATCAGTCTTTTCACAAGGACATTGGACATTGAAAGGAATGTTTTTGTTGTAAACTAATCTGGGTTTTGTATTACCTGACAACAATTAAAACAATAAAGAAAAGAAAAACTATTATACATGTCTGATATGTTTTTTTCTACAATAGTATAATTTCCACATTAAAATGTACTGCACTGGTAACTTCAAGTTTCTACATCATGCTCCAGTATGCAAGCTGCATACTTGACCAAGATTGACTTTAAAAGTATTTGTGATGTCACAAATCATGCCCCTAAAATCATGTTTTCAATGAGCACAGAGAAACTTTCTACGTTCAGCAGATTAATGTTAAAACATCCTTCTAGTGTCAAACTCTGCACAGACAGCATTCAAACATCACACTGTAGGAAGAAGAAATACTGATTTCTGACTGCAAGCAGTAAGCTACTGATAAATGAAGTCAAACTACTAGTTTAAGTGTATGATAATGTATGATAATAACAACAGGTAAACATGGAGGGGCAGAGTTTGCATCAACTGCAAATAAAAATGGGAGCTGATCAGGAAACTGGGAGGCTTCTGACAATAATATGAAAAAATATACTCATTAAAGACAGGAAAGTTGGACTAGAAGCATCTCATTTATATTTATAGTCACAGTGTGTAATGTTCAATTTGAATGTGTTGCCCATAAAGGTGTGTTCTGACTGACTGTAATGCAAATTTTCATGTTGAGTTGTTTGTGTGAATTTGACTGATGGTGTGTTTATGCAGTTTGTGTTATTTATCAACCAGCAGGCACTGGATGTTACAGTACAGATGTTTACTCTAGCTAGCAAACATAGATCTGTATGTGTGTGCAATATTTCACACTCCATATCCTCCCTCCTTTCCTCATCTCTGTGTGTTCAAGATTTAGAGTTCTAAAGCTTTTGGATTAGTGGATGCATCTTGCTTCAGGCTTTTTCATTAACATTGTGTGTTACTTTTTTTTGTTTTGTTTGAACACCACAGTTAAGTCGTTTAAGTGTTCAGTTGTTATTCCAATTGGCACTAGCACCATTAAGGATGCCAGTGTTTGCTCATCTGTCCAACACTTGTGATAAATTAATGTTTTAGGTGGGGAAGTTAATGTATACGTTTTGGTTAGGGGGATGTGTTTT